GCTCCTTTTGAACGAGTTAGTCAGGGAAGAACTGCCACCTTACCTATTTCTGCCGTCAAGCAGTAATGTTAGCATTACTGTGTTCCGGTTTTGAAGGCTAAGGGTGTTGGTGAAATTACAGGCACATGGGACTTGTTAACCTATATCTCAGTGGCAGTGCTCCTCGGATCTTTGCAATTTAAAGCTCTGAGTGGCACTGCAATTGCTATAGACAGGCGTGTCGCTTACCATTATACGCTTTTGACAATTTTTTTAATGCACACTATCGTAGCCCCGCACCAGGAAAACCCAGTGTCGCGGGTGCTATGCACATACCCGTGGATATCCGTAAATTAGACCCAAGCTCACGAGAGAAATAAATTTAGGCTATAAGGCCATACAAATTTTTCTCGCGACACGCGAATCGAACTCGGGATGGTAACCGTTCGGCCACCGTGGTAGTAGTAACTAAATTCACGTACGAATTGACAACATTTGGCAAGATTTCAGTTATCTGCCACGACAAATCCATCCACAATTATCATATTTTCAGGTATATTTTCACAAGAATCGCAAGTAAACAATCCTGATAGACGCGCACGCTATTCTATTCAATAGAATAGAATATCCTTAATGGCGGCCACTAGGACCGCCCACGCTCCTTCACAAACAAAAATCAAACATCAATCAGTAAGACATTTCTGTCACTGATTTTTTTAAGAGCTTTAGACTACGATAAACGCTACTAGGAATCCTTCAGGGGTACTTACGACGTTTTGGAATAAGCGACTTTTCAAAAATGAAAATAAAATGCTTAAACTAAAAATTATACAAAATAAAAAATACGTGTCCTTTAGTTTTGTAGCTGTTTTCAATAGAAATAAAAAATAAACTAGTGGTTAAAAAAATTAAATTTTGTCAATTGGAAACAAATTTGTCGTTAGAAATTTATCACTTGTTACGGTTGTTTTCACCAAGGTTTTTTTTACATTATATTTCAGGTCTGTGTTACAGTCAATATATTAGCTTAACGATAATCTTAATAGCATTGTACCCTATACACTTTTTCGGGTTGACAACTACCTTACTTTTGCTACCAATAATATCGTGAAAACTTTAAAGCCGTTCCAAGAAACTTGGAACGAGTGACAATCGCTTAGTGAATAATAACGAAAATCTTAAAATCCATAAAATTACTGCTAACCAAAAACGATGATCATATTATTATGATCTAAAAGAGTATGCGTGACAGCCCCAATTTACACAAATACGTTATTATTGACGATCTCGGTGGCACAACGGTTAACACTGTGGACGTTCGATCAGGAGGTCATCTTTCTACATTACTTTTGATTATAGTGACCCTCCTACCGACCCATAAAGTATACGAGAATGGGACTATAACCTATACGCGCACAGGAATCTTCTAACTTCAAGTTCTGACTCCAGATCAGCCAGTGAACATGATTGTACCTGTACTGATTAATTATAACTTTTTTTGTACACCATTTTCAAAATTATGATTGATCATGTGTATCTTTCTACATAAGTTTTGTTTATAGAGCTCCTCCCTATCATCCTCTTGGTAATGCGGGAAGGGCACTGACCTGTGCGAGCGAGCCCGCACAGGAACCATCTGAGCCAGGTTCTAACCCCAGATCATCCTGATTGACAAACTTTATCCGATTCTCTGTAAGGCTAGTGCCTTAGGTGAAATGCCACGGGTGCACGTACAGCACCCTCACTATTATCCAGATAGGTACGGGAGATATAAGCACGCTCACTTCCCGTCGCGCTCCGCACGACTAACGGTTGCCACAGCTGAGCAGCCGACTCTAAGTCGACCACCAAATCTCCTCATTGGTGGCGGAGCTGTAAGACACGCTCACTTTCCGACGCCGAATGAACGGCGTCTCTCCAGTTCCCTGATTCCTACGCGGCCGGAGGGACCGGAAGATGTCTAGCTCATCCTCTACTAGCTAGGCATCTCCGGGCTAGTGCCGGAGATGCCAAGTGGCTGTGTCCTGCGACAATGTACGAACATAGCTACCGACTTAAAGGGCAACTCACGCGCGCCACTCGTCTCCTCACCTCAGGCTCTCAACTAGACCGCTACTAAGACACGCAAGACACAGAAATACTTCCGACGTTTATCGGTTTCGGCTTTCGCAAGACCCTCATTTGGGATGGTTATTATTATTATTCTTTACTGCACAAAGAAAACACACTAAAACCAGATATTTTAAAGGATACATACAAAGGTGACCTTATCACCAGAAGAGATCAAACAAAGCATAAATATATGTCAACATTAAAAGTTACCGTAAATAGAACAATCCATTTTTAATAGGACTGGCTTTTTAAAAAGCAGATGTCTAGTTGCCTAAAAGGATAAGTCAACCGGTCATCTACATACCAATACTAAAAAGGAACATTCTAGTTACCATTTTCAATATAGCAGCGATCGTTGAACTTCACATTCTAAAGTAAATAAGTGTTACAATCTGCATAACTATGACGTATATGGAAATAAGCATGCGATGGTATCGTTTTATAATGGCAAAAGTGCCTTATTAATGAACGTTTCCTAATTAGATTTATTTTATTGACGTATATGGATTTAACGTTACGTAAATCATTGAAATTTGTTTCCTAGAACGTGGTGTTAGACAACTATACACAAAAACAACTTCCGATCGGATGTGAAGCAAATAGCGGGCAGCGAGGTGTGGTAGCCACTGGCCGCACTTATATTGAAAATGTGGGCTATAAATATACACAACATTGAAAGCACTTTAATCACTTTTATGCAGTAGCAATAGTGCATAAAAGTTTTATGTCATCCAATTTGTTTTCTACTACCGGAGACTTTTACTGGGTCTGATGCAGTAGATAAAACTTGATGGCAGTTAAGGATACCTATTTTTTATGACACCAAGGACGGGCCGAATAAGTCGTGTGTCTGGTGTTAAGCGACATGCCTGTCAATCGCAGTTGCAGTGCCACTCAGAGCTTTAAATCACAAAGATCTGAGGGAAACTGCCCCAATGATGGCAGAAATAAGTAAGGTAACAACAGTACTTGCCTGGACGAATTTTCTCACAAGGTGCTCTACACCTATAAAAACACCATAATGACACCATTATACACACGTACACTATTATAATTTTTTTGTAGCATCGTCTCTAGATGAAGCTTAGTAGATTCCATCATTTCGAAACGTTACAAGTTTGTGTATTGACTGAGTTCTGTTATTTGTTGAAAACAATTGTTTTCCCTTTATGTAACTACCCGACTACGAGGATCCATGATTTGTGTTAATAATTTGTAGTATCTGATCTCTCTGTTAACAACAATCCACAATTAAATTAAATTGCTCTTATAAATGAATACATGGCAAATCTTTTATTGCTTTTTTATTTCAATTACACAAACGTTAAAACCAGAAGCAATGGGTTGGTAATTTTTGCGACAGGACCTTGCGCAATCTAATTCTTTTAATTTTTTTCTTTTTTGTTTTCTGAATTTTATTAATCGACAGGTACGTAGTATGTCTATTGTTTTCAATTTTCGTATTCTGATTCTGGGTAACCACATGATTAGACATCACTAAAGCGGTCAATTACAACTCATTAATTAGGACGCAGTGAAGTGTGAAGTTGCTGCATGTATCACGCTATATTAATCATTACCACTATAGTCAATCACTGTATTTTTGATTAATATCCACAAATTTGCCTACTATTGTTTGATTACGTAAATACGAAAGTAATCTTGTAATAAAATTTACGCTTTCTTTAAACAAATATATTTCGCGAACGTTTATATATTTTTTTTTTATGATACCAAGTGACGGGACGAATAGATCGTGTGGCTGGTGTTAAGCGACACGTTTGTCCATAACAGTTGCTGCGCCACTCAGAGGATTTGAGGGACACTACCACTGCACCCGTCACTCTGAGACATAAGTTGCTAAGTCTCATATGCGTGTAATTTCACCAGCACCCTTACCCTTCAAACCGGACCGTAGTAAAGCTCTCTCTACTACTTGGCGGCAGAAATAGGTCTACTTACTGCCTATTAAAACATTCTGGTCTGATATGGAAAAGTAGTGTGACGAAAACAAAATGTTTCAATCAATTTCAATTAAATTGAATTAAAGAAAAATATGAGCTATATTCAGTATTTGCTTCGTTTAAAATGATAACACTAGAGCCTACCTTCTTCAATGTCTTCTGTCGAAGTCTTTACAGAAACTAAGATATTTTTGTTACAAAGAATAGATGTGTTAGTCACTTGTTATAGTTTAAAGACTAATGGAACGTGACATTCACTAGCCAGTGACACAGTGACCAATTCGCAGAACAAATGGTGGTCATGAAGCTATGATAATGAATATCAGCCTTGTCAGAGTAATGTATGTGCGTGCGCAGGAGTCTGATATATGAATTAGCTCTAGGCGGTGGTGGCGTATGGTGATTAGATAATTGGTAGGTTTGATACAATATGGCAGTGTTAGTCCTTTAAAGTGAGGTGCTGTGCTTATTTAAGTAGGTTTTACATAGTAACGTAGCATGTGTGGGATCTTATGAACACACAAGATTTTTGTTTTGGATTTCTCTACTATTTTGCCTTTCTTGAATATTATCTTCTTGGAGTTAAAAAGGTTATTTCAACTTATTATTGTGTATTATAACTATTATGTAGTTTTACAAATCATTGCTGGATACCTCTAATTTTGTTTCAATGTAATGATATTTTACACTGGGATAAGGTTAGTTGGCAGCTTAGTGTTATATTGAATTAATTAAATCATGCTATAGGAAGCGTAATTTGTCAGAAGCGTAACAGAAGGAGTCTATATTCCCTAGACAGGCGAGAAGCATATGTTTGTGTTTTAATTAATTTGTATTAATTCAGTATTTGGATTATGCGTTCTAAATAGATTGCTATTTATTCAAAGTTTCTGTTAGGCAATTGCTCAATTACAAAGGGTGAGGACTGAAGCAATTTTGACTTACTTAATAATTCGATTAAAAATCCGATAAAAAGTCACTGTAGAAATAATTAACAGCAAGTTAACTTTACGTGATTAATATTCACAATAGGGCTCAGTTCGTTTAATTTTTAAGAAAGTAGAACTAACACTTCATTTGTGAGCCAACAAAGCATGTTCACACTGCGTTAAAGAGAATTGCTACAATGGGAATGAGGTGCGTCCTCAATACTTCCATGTAGAAAAATAATAAAACAAAAGGACTAGGAGACAAAACGTCGCGTTCGCGATCGCATCGGCTTAGAGATTTGAAATGGGAGCGCGTGGAGCGCGCGCGCCGGTTGTGCTTCGACTAGTTGCGGTTTCGCGCCAAAACCACGCGGAGATAGTATCTGCTGGTAGCTGGTAGACGCAAAGATTCATTCATGAGTGCGATTATGCAATTGACCCCTTATTGTGTTTATTATTTATTGAATAGTTGAGGTCGGGTCACGAATTGACTGTTCTAGTGACAGCATTTGGAAGAAAAAGGCAGGTTAGATTCAGTCACCATTTTACCAATTCTTTGATTACGTCTATCAAAAGTGACCTGTCTTTTTTGACAACATTCCCAGCAGTATAATAGTTCTAATTAGGCAGAGTATATTTACCTACACTTCAAGAAAGTAATACACATAGAGTGCATAGTACGTTCCTCTGAAATCTCGAAATTATTGTATTGTGTTTTATTCTATATTTTTGATGTGTAACTCGTAATTACTTTACTAAGGTAGTGTATTTAGAAAAAGATTTGTAATTGTAAGTGAAACTATAAGTACGCCCCCGGACACATAATTCGACCTACCTTTCATTTTCAGTATTAAATGCCCTGAGCGTACTTAAACAACATTTATTTGATCAAAAACTATTATACAATTTTAAAAAGCATATACTGAACGTTATTCCCATAAGTTCTTGTTGAAAAAAACTTTTTCACCTCACCAACTCGGAAAGGTTTTCTTTCTCATTAGAAATCTACGTGCAAAAGTGTTTTTTCCATGCTAGCGTGAAAAGGGTTTTTGAAATTCGAACTTGACGATGGACCATGTCCTGCCCCTAACTTTTTCTCGATGAAAAAGATAAAACAATGAATTACAAGCTCAACTACGAGATTTGTCGTACATTGATTATGTAACATAAATCCGTTGGTATATTTTATTCTTATTATCGTTGATATTAAATTGACAACGATAACTAATTTTGTTTATTAATTTATTTTGTTATAGTTCAACTGTTTTTCTTTCCTCTGCCATTTTCCTCGCTATAGTGAGGTGAAAAGATGTGTGTTTCGCTCAGCAGCAAAGTTGTTTTGTGAAACACTCGCTACGCTCAGTATTCTATTTATGATTTCATTCTAATATTAGAATCCTTCGCTTGCTCAGGTTTCAATAGAAGCACTCGCGACAAACAACAACTTTGCAGCCTTGCATAACAAATAACTATTTCTTCGATTGTAAAAATATTTCTGTATATCAGAAAAAATTGCAAAGTACCTTGAATTGTGTGCCCGGTAGTGTACTTTGTTTTAATCTTTTGCCTTTTATTTTTAATCATTTTGGGAAATTGAAAGTTTCGTTTCCTATCCGTATGATGGTAACATTAAATCATTAAGTGACGATTTGATAAAGTCTCCAAGATATGTGCGTAAATTGAGGCTGACGCTGACGGGACTTAAAGCCGTGCTACTGGTTATAAGCGACACGCCTACCCATAGCAGTTGCTGTGGCACTCAGAGCTTTAAATCGCAAGGATCAGAGGGGCGTTGGCACCGCGCCAGTCGCTTTGAGATATAAGGTGACAAATGCCTCCTTAAATTCTTTTCTGTCTGCTGTTTTCCATATAGTTTAGATTGCTGAATATTCGTTTCGACAAAATTACTATTCTTAGATACAAAATTGTGCTTATCTCAAATAAACGAATACAAGAATTTTTTAAGTATTTACTCAATTTAGTAGTATTGAGTAGTTACTTAATTTGTACATTTTGAAGCAAAAACATTTCTTTAATCACATTTAATTTAAATGACATATTGTTCTACCAGATAGTATATTGCAAATGAATCCAAAAGTACAATCTCAGGGTCAAACTTGGGTGCGCCCCCCTTTAGAAGATTATGTTAGATTACTATATTAAAAAGAATAAACGCAGAATTTTTTTGCACGTCCGAACATTAATAACATTAAATTAAATCCGAGGTAATAAAATAAAACACAAAACGAAAAATGCTGTGGATGTTTCAACATGTTTTGTTCTAAAACAAAATATTCAATTCGGTATATTAGGCATACGGAAAATGAGAATGTGGAAACAAATAACTTGTCAATCTGTCAAAATAGCGAAGTATTAATATGGTGTAATGAAAAAATTCGAAACCTGATTTCGGATAAATGGAACAAAATCCGTTCAATGAAAGCTGCAAGGTTTTCGGAGAAACAAAATTCGGTAAATCATATTAGCTTGTCTTAGGTAAATTGAAGAAAGAGAAAAGATAAAGAGATAAATTTCGTAATTTTTACTTTTTTTCTGTATAAACTAGCCAGACATCAAACTTTGTAAGGAAAATATATTCCTTCTTTGAATTTTCAGCTTTAAAAGGTTTACAAGTGCTAACCTTCCATATAGAAATTATGTCAAATGCTTACATGTTTATTAAGCGCTTAATTCACATATCGAATGACTATTCACAATATTAAATAACCGAAGTTACAATGACATCAGTGCTGTATAGCGACGACATAACATTCATCATAATTTAATAACTATTGATTATGTATTAGGCTCTGCAACCTACACAATATTTTTTAATGTTTGTTTAAGTTAACTTCCTGCAATCAAACCTACTGTCATTACAAGAGAAATAATACAAACGCACGCGTGAACATTATAAATAAATGGGAACGCATAGCATTTTCCACCAAATATTAAGTTAGTGACCCTTCTGTTACCGTTGGCTAGCACCACACAAAATATCTTTATACCTAGATAGTGTTCTTGTTTATGTGAATAGTTTATGTTTTAATTTAACTTTTTTTAATTGATTTTTTATTTTGTTTTTATTTTTCTAATTATCTATTTTACGTCTAAATGTTTCGATTATGTTTCGTTTTTATCTTGTTTTGTTTCGTTTTTTTTTCTTTTGTGGTGTTATTTGTGATAATGAAATAATAGTTATTTGTTGTACAAGGCTGCAAGTTGTTGTTTGACGCGAGTGCTCGTATTGAAACCTGAGCAAGTGAATGAAGCTAAGATAAGAAGATAGTTAGAGAAAGAAACAACTTTTCAACTGACTATAGCGAGAAAATGGTAGCTGAAAGAAAAACAACTGAACTTTAGATCACTTTTTTTTAATAAGCTTGTCTTCGAATGCATTCTGAATTTACCTCATCAATTTTTATTGTTGCCTGTAGTTTTATTTTGTGTGATTAAGTGATTATTGAAATTATTTTGTTCTTCGACTAATTAAAGTAATTTAATAAACACAATTAGTTATTATTGCCAATTTAATGTGAACAATAATAAGAATAAAATATATCAACGGATTTATATCACATAAACAAGTAATGTACGATAAATCGCGTAGTTTAACGTGTCATTTATCTTTTTTTTTTCATCGAAAGAAAAAGTTAGTGTACTTACAGTCTAGCTAGTAGTTTTCTAGTGAGAAAGAAAGCCTTTCCGAGCTAGTGAGGCGAAAATGTATTTTTCTTTCTTTCTAAATATATACATTTACAATTTCTTGTATACAATTAAAAGAAGAAGATATATTACAAAAATATTGTGTATAATTAAATATGGTTCCATTAATTAGAATTGTGTTCCCACCGCCAGGGTGCCCACAATGCCGGCAGCGTTTCCGTCTCTGTTTGGCTATTGTAAGTTATATTGCGCAAGATTGAATTTGGGTTCAGTATTTCTGACACCACATGCTTAACAACGTGTTTTCTTACTACGGTATGATTTCTTTTTACTTTCCCAATATTTCGGTAACGCGCGCTATGGCCACGCCTCGTTGCGAAGCCTCCAGGTACTGTCGACGAAACCTGACTACGTACCTTTGATACGAGATGCCGTCGAGATTACAAAGTGCCAAACGTTTAACCGTGAAGACGGATTTAAATTCCAGGGTGTAACCGATGCTTGTGCTTATAATAATAAGAATAAAAACAAAAATTCTTCAATTTCAGTTTCACGTGTGGATACAACAACAAGTGTGGTTTGTCGGAATAAAGTGAATGACAATGGTAACACCACGTGTAATCGAGATGAAAATAATCGCCGTCTGTAAAAGAGAGTACACAGATATGTTTGTTATTAAAACTGTCATCTGCCGCTGGCCAGTCAACCAGTGACCATGGAGCATGTAACCGTTACGAAGTATCGGGAAAATAAAAGGAAATCATACCGTGGTACCACGCGTGATAAGAAAACCGTAATTAAAGTGATAATCATTTAGTGAATAACCACGAAAATCTATATGGAAGGTCTAGGTGAAGTTACAGGCACATGGGACTTGTCAACTTATGTCTCTGGGCAACTTATGTGCACAGTGACAGTGCCCCTCAGATCTTTTGCAATTTAAAGCTCTGAGTGGCACTGCAACTGTTATGGACAGGCGTGTAGCTAAAACATAGTTTTTTAATTTAATGTACAGTCAACAGTACATCAAGCTACACATTGACGTATCTTGTCTGTTGCACTGGAGGCGATGTTCGAACAAAAATGTATAGTCTGACGTGCCGTTGAAGTACCTAATTTTTAGTTAGCTAATACATTTTATAAGTTTTCTCAAGTTAGCTAACTTTAAACCGAACGCCATCTTTGAGCACGCTTTTGAACTAACTAGTACGATCAATAAGCTCAACGTAATGGTTACATTCTAACTCGTTTACTTAGCAATGTGAGGAAACTTGACACAGCTTTGGTAACAATTTGTGTAATTAAGGTTAGATGTCGCTGTAGTAGCCATTATTACTTTTAAGTTTTCTATTTTTATAATATATAGCGTTTGATGTTTCAATATTTTGTATACAATCGAGAGTACAGCATTTTCGCAGACAGTTTTAATCTAAATCCTGTAATATTAAACTTGCTAAGATTCAGCAAACTATTACGAGAAAAGCGATAAACGCTCCTTGTACCTACATTAAAATGTATTTAAATATAATTAGATGTTATCGACTCAAGCATGAATGCCCTCAGTTATGTATGAAAAACGTATTTTTCTAGACACCTTGTGGTCATATAGAACATGTACCGTTAAATTTGAATGTGATATTTTCTTTATAATGTACATACATTAGGCATTTACGTGATCATAATAAGATATTATCGGGATACTTAAGTACATTTTGACATACAAGGGGACTTAGGATGTTAACTTTATTTTTTTACTTCTCATACTTGAAAACTTAGTATTATACGTATGCTTCGTGTAGTATGATGACCTTAATATTTTTAGTCTCTGGTACCTAAAGTAATTTTACCATGAATTCGTTTTAAATGGTAAACAGTTAATTTGCATTACAGATCGTGGCATGAAAAAATACCATTAAATTGTGTGTTTTAAAAAAAAAATTATAGTTCGATTTCTTGTGGTGTGAGTAAAAAGCACAATATGGATAGTATATATAACTCACTTAATTTTTAAGTATTAAATGAGGTTAACCTTCGTGCATCTTTTCTTCAGCTAAATTTAGCTGCACAAGATGTTTCAAATGTTCAAATGGATCGTTCTACACCCTCGATGAATGTTTTCCACCATGTCGCGTAGAGTTGAAAAATTTACAGACCAGGAGTAATGATGAGAGTTTGTTGACATATTAAAATATTATATATGGAAATTAATATCAATATTATGTTTATTTGTTTAATAATTTTTTGCAAAAGGCGGCAACCGATATTCTAAAGTAGTTGTATTTTTTTTTAGTTTCGTGTACAGTATACATATAAAAATTACTTTCTGTATAAATAGCAATAATAGATCTATCCACTCTTTAGGATTTGATTACGCCGCCCCCGGCGCCCCGTCACAATATAATAGAAGTAACATTTGTGCTTCTATTTGACTGAGCTCCTGGATAGGCGCGCGACTACAACATCATACCTGTAACTTCGTGCAGTTGCATGTATCGACAGTGCGTAAGTACCCCACTTATTTTTGTTACATGTGATTTGCAATATGTCAATATTAATTAATTACCTGTCATAAAAAAATGATTGTCTGTGACAATTATAACATTTGATCACAATTGCTCAATAGCTGAATATTTAATTTCAAAACTTCTTTTTCTCTTGACTGTACTTACCTTACAGTACAGCAATTATTGTAATTAAAAAATTGCGGTGGATCAGGTTTGAGTACGGGAGTAACCAATCCATCTCATAGCATCATTTTAATATATATATATAGTGTGACATTGTGACAGGTGGCGAATTATGGATCTACAAGCAAGAATCCGAAAGTAAACGGCAGTGGACTGTATGCGTCTTTTAAGATGAGCCCTAACTTCGAAGCAAATGGCCGCTAGATGTCATCGGAGAAACAAGAAAGATCAGTTGCCGAAGACAGATGATTCTTCATCGCTACCATGCGAGTACACATCGAGTCAAACAAGTGAATTTTTGAGCACTCAAAATGTCGACTTGATGGATCGATTTATCGATCGATCGGCAACTCTCGTAATATAAATGAGAGTATTTGGATAACTTGATGGTTGTTCATTATTACATCGTCCAAATGGCTTAAATTTAGCGGATAGTTTGTTTATAGACTGAACTAACACGTAATTAGGTTGTGAATAGAAGTTATCTTTTTTTTGAGTTTCTCAGCTACTTTGTTGTAAAAATGTTTAAAATTCATGACGCTTCTTTTGTTATCGTTTTTCAAAGTCAAAGAATCATCCATACCATAGGTATAATAAATTCACACTTGAAAACGTCACACTTAAGCTACTGCTCGTTCACTACGCTGACTACGTTTTTCCATACATCTTTACCTAACACGTAGTCTTCAATTTTGTAATATGACTTTTCAATAAAAGTATTTTTAATGTAGTTTTTAAACTTAGGAAATGATAATCTTAATATATGCTCCAAAATGTTATTGTAAAACCATATACAGTTCTCCATAAAGAGTCGTTCACTTTGGTTAAACGAAATCGTTTGTTGTGTAGACTCTTAGCCCAAATCCATTTTAGACAAGACGAATGCATTGCGATTGATTCTGATACAGATGTAGAAATATTATTATTGTTCATATTATTAAGATCATAATTAAATGTGGAATACGCCCACTGACTCGCAAAGTATAAAACGAAACCAATAAAACTTGTCTAAGATCATTTATTTAATATGTAGAGTACTTATGTACAGGTGTAAACCAATGGAAGGCAGTGTGATTTTTTTAATATTATATACAATTTAATGAGTAAAGGAGTAAAAATTGTAATACTTTCTTAGCCATCAATACGAATTAAATAAGAATAAATTTTAAACTAGCTTACAAATCTAACGTAACCAATGCTTAATTTATCGCCTCTTAGAATCAACTGGGTAATACAGCCATTTGAATTCATAGCCTTTAAGGCCGTATTTTGCATCTTTCTCTGTTTCTTCTTTAGGTACTTCTTCAGATACCAGATCAAGAACTTCTTGAGTGATTTTGGGTCGGAATCCATTCTCGTCTGCTTCATAATCAACCCTGGTTCTAACACCATTTCTACCAGTGACGTAATAGTATCCCTTCTTTGCACCATTAGTGTACCCCTCCTCGTGGTGACCATGGAATCCCACTGTGTAGTTAAAAGTGTACAGCAATGCTGCCATTTCACCCTTGGTTACACCCGGAGGAAGTCCTTCCCTCTCGCCAGGGCCTCTGCGATAAATATCAGTGTTAGGATCAACAATTTGCATTCGGGCGGAGACTAGGACTGGTTTCTCAGGAGCGTTGTCATATTGTGAACGTACGTCATATTGCTTAGGATTTCTTCCTCCTGGCTGTAGACTCTGTTCAGGGTACTGTGAGTGGCCTTGTGGATTGCTTCCGGGGTTCTGGGGGTAGTTTCCAGGGTTTTGTGGGTAGTTTCCAGGTTTCTGTGGGTAGTCTGCGTTGTCCTGTGGGTACTTTTCGTTGTTCTGTGGGTAGTTTCCGTTGTTCTGTGGGTAGTTTCCGGGGTTTTGAGGGTAATTTCCGGGGTTTTGTGGGTAGTTTGCGTTGTTCTGTGGGTAGTTTCCGTTGTTCTGTGGGTAGTCTTCGGGATTTTGTGGGTATTTTTCAGAGTTCTGTGGGTACTTTCCGGGGTTCTGTGGGTAATTTTCGGGGTTTTGTGGGTAATTACTATTATATTGAGGATTGCCTTGTGATACAATAGGTTTGTTTGTCAACACTGGTGGCGGTTTTGTGGTAGGGAGGCTACAATGAGAGCAGGCTCTCGCTGGCTCGCTTGGCCCTGGTTTTGCTGTGTCTGATTTCTTCGAGGCCGTCGGTAAAGCGAGTTCCTTTGCCTTTTTTTGTCCAACTGAAATTAAAAATTATAAATTTAGTGTTCTTTATATGGAGCAGTGCAGAAATATTACGCATTTAAAGAGAGAGATTTAAATGAGATTTTCTGCATTCGTGAATAGTTTTCCTGTGTATTCCTAATACAAAAAGGAACATTATCATAGAGGTAGAAAAGTATTTTTGAGGAACATAAATAAAAGGGTGGGTACAAGTATCAAAGATTAAATGGTTTTTATTAACAGTAAAAATATAATTTTAAATTTATATTCAAACAAACAGAATGAAAGTTTGGTTACAGATATTTAAAAATCAGAAAAGTTAAAAAGAGTAGGCAATGCTTATTTGTGATATTACACGTTTTTGGGGCCGCACAGGACACGTTTTAAGTATTAACATATTTATCTCGTGTTTAATCAACATTTCATGAAAAACGAGCTTGAGATTGATTCGGAAATGAAATGAGTATTGTACTATAATTTCTTACCGGGCTTTAGACGGATGTTTTTCATGGACAAGATTTTGAAGTTTCCGTTTTCGTCTGTGGCGTAAACGGTGACGTGGTACACGTCGTCGGCAGTGATGAAACCAAATTCCCCCATGATCAACCCATTCTCATCTAAAAAAAATATGTAGCAGTTAGAGCTTACATTTTCAATTCAAAATGTATGTAAGTACATCAATTTACACTGAAAATATGTTTATTTTAATTTAAATAATCAAAAACACATAATATATCGAATCCGTCTCGGTTGGGCAGCTTTCGGGAAGCATCAGGACTTCTGAAGTCCTGATGCTCCTGAAGACAAAAGTCTTCAAGCAGTGCGTGTTGCCAGCGATGACCTACGGCTCTGAGACGTGGTCACTTACTATGGGCCTCATTTCTCTATGTGATCGAATCAGAAATGACGAGATCCGCAGAAGAACGAAAGTCATCAACATAGCTCAAAGGATTAACAAGTTGAAGTGGCAGTAGCACATAGCTCGTAGAACTGACGGCCGTTTGGGCAGAAAGGTTCTCGAATGATGACCACGAACCGGAAGGCGTTCAGTGGGACGGCGCGTACTAGATAGACGGAAGACCTGATAAGGGCGGCGGATAACCGATAGGTGCACGTTGCGTCCGACCGGCTAGAATTGGACGTCTTCCGACTGATATGATGATGATGATGAATATCGCTCGAATAATCAAAAGATTTCAATAAACTGGAGAAAAAAGGTGTATAAGCGAATTTTACCAAAAATGAGCTATTGGTGTAGTTAAAAAACAAAAAATAGGAGAATATATAGAGGTTCCTCGACCCTGACGGGATTCGAACCTAAAATCTTCCGATCCATAGTCAGACGCGTTATCCGTTATGCCAATTGGGTTACATTTTCAATTTCTTTCGATCTGCTTAGTCAAGTGTGGGGTACAAGACGAGCCTACTTGCACGACGTACTTATCCCTTTCCTGGGGTCTACCATAACCTCTTAAAACAATATTACTTTAACCTGAAATTGACTTTTCGTACCATGACGCGCTTAAAGTAAGTTTATTATAATGTTAAAACAATGATGTTTTCTTGGCAGCTTTGTGACTATTCATTCACTCAGTTCCTACTATGACGCGAGTTTAACATTAAAGTAATATTGTTCTTATGTCAAATTTAGCAATCTTAAAATAGTTATACGGATGCAATGGAAACCATATTATTTACGAATATTTTGTATAAATATTGATTTGTAATGATTAAAAGTTAAGTTGAACTTATTTATTAACATATATCTCTTCAATAGTTTGTTTATTTGTTTATTTTATAGTACATATAATTTTTCGTTAAATAAAAATAAGCGATGTTTATTTCGGAAAATTATGACAGCGCCATCTATATGTTCCTTGGCGACACTAACAGTTGACACTAGACTATAATTTCGAATTTACAACGTAACAATCATGGCTCAGCCTGTTTTATTTATTTTTCATCTTGAAAATGCGGAAAAATAATTGAAAACAACACAATTTTAATAGATTTCATTATTACATACTATTCTTTAAAATAATAATAGAATAAGAATAGTATTCTTTATTTTTGCCAGTTAAAATTCTTTGAATGTAAATAATATTAAGTACTTTAACATTATACTACGATAGGATGATTTGGAATATCAAAAAATAAAGAGATGACATTATACAGTTCATATAACGTTATTTCTTTCCAATTTTTTAGTAAGGAATAGACAACATTGGGAAATCATTCGATCTTTCAGTCACTTTAGCAATAATACATTACTTGGTTGATAGGTTTGTTGTGTAAATTATAATTAGCTTACATTGAAATAAGATTATTGTTTGAAAGGTTATGGTAGGCCCCCTGTAGTACGTCTGGCGCACCCTGGGCAACATTGGCGAGTACCTTACGCCAATTGGCAAATCCTTTTTTTAAAATTACAGGCACGTTGGACTAGTCAACTTATGTCTCAGGATGTCGGGCGCAGAGGCACTGCCTCTCCGATCTTTGCCTTTTAAAGCTCTGAGTGGCACTGTAATTGTGTTGGAAAGCCACGGCTGTACTATGTGCTAAAAGACGTGTCGTTTGCCACCGGAATAGCACGACTTGTTCGTCCTGTCGCTTGATATTTATCAGAAAAAAAGAGGAAGTGAAAGGAATGTTTTTCACTGAAAAGTTACATTTTTAAGTAAATGTAAACAATCATTTTTACTTAAATATCTAACTACAGTGAAAAACAATTTTTGGTTCATGTCCTTTTTACAAAACAAGGATATCAACCAAAATGTTTACAAACATTTGTGTTAAAGTCGTCTTGTAAACTTTCGCCTTTTATTCCCTGAAATATCGCTATATTAATTTTTTTTTAATCTAAGTTGCAATAATGCAACCAGAGGCGTACAAATAGTGTTTATTTACAATACAAAATCATTTTAATTCACCTTGGAAAAAGAGATAAACATATTCGTTCTGTTTCCTTAATTATTCGGATTTTGCTATGATGACATCATTATAAAATTGAAATTTGATATGAGTTTTGTTCTTACGATTTGTGGCATATTAATCGTGCGATTAGTCGCCTCCTTTCACATTATTTTTAAGTTATGGAAATATCGGAGTTGCTTTTATATAACTAGTAGTGTTGCAACGGATACAATACGATTATTCTACCAGGAGCGTGGCCGAATAGCCGAATATTCGGTCGGACTATTCGCCCTGATTAATGCACGTACGAAAATTGGCACGAAAAGTACTACTTATTAACTTCAGTTATGAAACAAAAAGGTAAATTACTTTCCAAGTTTATTTAATTTATGACATTTTAATGAAGAAATATAATTGTAATTCTTTTCAGTTTCATTAACTCAAAAAAAAAAAAAATTTTGCAAATAATAAGTATCAGAGTGATTTTGTTACGTTTATATAGTCATGACTAAACTACATAATAAGCAGTTAGTTTTATTTGACTTTGATTACATTTTTTAATCTCTTAGAAAAATAACTTAAAATGTTACATTTAGGAAATGAAACTATTTTTCGGGATTTAATCGCGTATATTTGTTTATTCAAATGTTTTAGATCCTATGGTCAGTTGACTGAACGAATAAATAAAAAAATATTCATTTCCTGTATGTAACAATCGCGAAAATCTAAGAACTAGAAATGTTACATTTCTTTTGAACATTTAGATAAAGCAGAAAATTAAGCTCTCTCAAATTTACGTACAATGTATGTTCAGAATTAATAAAAGTTACACATTGACCTACGGTCAATGAAGTTATAATAATTTACTGTGTCTTTCTTTTTTAGTAAAGTATTCGGCCGAATGGAAAGAAATAGGCTGAATATGCCGAATACCGAATAGTTGCCGAAAATTCGTCAACTCTAATAAAGTAGATGTACGACGATTTTGTACACATAGAGCTTCTTCGTGATATGTAAATTGGTACAATAACGTGTTTTTAAGTATCTAAGTGATGTTAATAAGGTGACAACGTGATCGGTTGCCAGGGCTCCATTGTGCCTCCAAAAATTTTTTTTGATGTTTAAATTTAGAATTCAAAGTCGCATAGATGACGTTAAATTCTTGTGGGTTTCCGTTTACGAATGATAGAAAAATTCTAACACTCACTTAGTGCATGAAATGCGTTCAACACAAAAAGTATATATTTTGCAGAAAGTATTGAAATAGTGAATTTCATAAAATTTTTAACCGTGTATCACCCCGTCCACATCTTCAATTACCATCAGATGAGGTTGTGGAGAAAAGTAAGCTTGTCTTACCTTTCTTTTCATGTCTGTGTTGTTCTCCCTCGATGTTAAAGCCGAACTCATAAGGTCTATTTTCGTCTGTGTAGTATTTGCTGGCGCCTTGCACTTGCAACAGATATGTCAGCATTCCGAGGAGCACAGAAAATTTCCTTAGCTGCAACATCTGGGAAATATATAAAACACATGAAATTTATTGAATATCACACTGTTTTATTACCACGATATATTATTTTTGTGAAATTACTCTACTAGTTTATTATAATTATTAATATAAAGATCGAACAATCCGGCTAGATCCGAACCAGTTTCTTCAGCACACCAGGCCAACGTACAGTGGGCCCAAATCGATCATTCTTGGACATAGGAAAAACTTGTGGAGTATCGAGTTAATTTTTTTTATAATAATATGATACATAATAACATTCCTAACAACTTTTACTCTATAATTTCTTGAAAAGTTAATAGTAATAGTTACAGAGAAAAAAAAAAATTTTTTTGTATGGAGAAATATACATTTTATTGTTTATCTCAAAATATACGAAAATGTAATGTGCATGGGTTACTTACAGTATAGTTCCAATCATTATCTATGTAGAAAAGAATAATCTGTCTAAATGTACTTGCGGCTTTGTAAGTAAAGGTGCGGCTAACTCTTTTATGTACTTTTTTAACAAAATACATAGAAAAGTTAATTTTAGTGTAATTTAGAGAGCGTTATAACAATAACACGAAAGTTAAGTAGAAAATAGTATATTATGTTAAAAAATAAATAACAAATATACAATTTTGACACCTTTTTACTCGTAGAGCGGCAAGTATTTACTGGATTATTTTTTTATTGATAGAGAATGATTGGACCTATATTGTAAATAAACCACACACATTACATTTTTCTACATTTCGAGATAAAAAATAAAATGTTTATTTATCCAAACAAAAAAAACAAAAATTTTGTTTTCTCTGACATAATCAGCTTTTTAAGAAAATACATAAGAATAAAAGTTATCAGGAATGTTATTATTTATCATATTATTGTTCCCTTGATTAAATAATAATAAAGAATGATCATTCTTGGACATAGGAATAACTTGTGGTGTACCGAGCTAATTCTTTTTATGTAATAGATAATAACATTTCTAACAACTTTTATTCTTGTATAATTTCTTGAAAAGTTGATAGTTTCAGAGAATTTTTTTGTATGGAGAAACATACATTTTTTTTAAATTAAATTTAAAATTAGCTCGATACTCCACAAGTGATTCATATGTCCAAGAATTATCAAATTGAGCCCACTGTGCGACGCTCTCCCAATGAACGAACCGACAGTAAGGTCTGTCGGTTCGTTCATTGGGAGAGCTTTTTCTATGTGCTTGTTGCAGATCTTTATTTTTGGTTTTTACCGTAATGCCATTGTGAGAAGTCTATGAAAGTTTTTAAATTATAAAGCAGATTTTAATGAAAATGTAAAGAGGACATGATTTAATAATAAATTATGGGTGAAGTATATGATAAGTTTAACAAGAAGTTCCGGATACCATATAATTATAATTTCGATACGCGTTTTCATATTTTTTCATTACATTAATTTGAAACTGATTTATATAATCTCAGTACAGAGTATTAAAAAAATCGACCTCAAAAGTACGTGGAATTACGTATAATTACCAAGTTTTATTAAAATCGGTTACCGGAAAGTATGCAAACCCGGATTCGCCCCCTAGTTCGCCACAATACGGGACTTGACACAAGAGATAATAAAAATCGGTTGTGTTATAATCAAAGTATATTGAGAGAGAAAAACGCCTTGAATTGGAGAATAGCAAAATCAACCATTAAAATAATTGCTCTTTATAATAAAAATGAATCTTCACGCGTGAACAGCCACCCATAGAGGTGGATGTTTTTCTTCAAAATTAAATGGGACCACTATGGAGGTACCCTATTTCCAACAAAAAAAGAATCATGAAAATCGGTTTACAAATAGCGGAGTTATCGCGTAACATACATACAAAAAAAAACATACAGTCGAATTGAGAACTTCCTCCATTTTTAAAGGCGGTTAATAATATTGTATCTACTCACAAAGGTCAAAGTACTTGTGATGTCAGTTAAATCTGTCAGATTGGCTGGTGCCCGCGACTTTGTCTGCATGTAAGAAGTACTTCGAGTAGCCTATTGTACTATACAAATTTTCATAGTTTTATTGGTTCTCTACATGAACTTTCATCCCTTATTTCACGCCCTTTAAGATTTATTTTTGTAACAAAATGTAGCTTTCTCTTGGAGAATCCCGTCTATCTCTATACTTGTTCCGTCCCGTCACTTGATATTATGAAAAAAAGGAAATAACCAAAATTTATCAAAATTGTTTTATCGGTTTAGGCATGAGAACTGAACACACAGAGTTACTCTCACATTTATAATATTAGTTTGGATAAATTTTGTATTTTTTCTTACTAGTTGTGAATTTATACTTCACTAGAGTTTCCAAAATTACCTTAACGAGCGCCATCTGCATTTTAGGGTCAAATGACAATATCGATAATGCGTAAACATTTTTTTTAGAAAATTATTCCAATAATGTTGCTCTATAAATAGTTAATTTCTGACTCATAGTTTACTGTTGAATGCCTATAGCAGGGTGTATGGAGGCCTTTGCCATTCTACCGCAAGGCATGTTTTACGAGCATAGACACCGTTTTTAATTGAATAGTAGAACAGTCATCGTCTGTAATAATACGTTAAACTTGTTTATTTGATGTCGCTTGTGTATTGTTGACAATGTACTGTTGTGTTAATTCGATTAATTAAGGCATGCTATAGAGTTAAAAATTAGATGGCGTATCGAGTTCTTAGGTTTGCAAAGTAGAGTGCCGAGCTATTGGGGCTCAACGGAATGATACGGAAGCGTCAATATCGTCTGCGCGAGAAGACGCGCGCAGTCGCTGGCATGCTCGAGCATTCGCGGGAATGCTCGAGTATTCGCGAGCTTTCTCACCACTGCGCCTTGAGGCTGTACTATTTCTACGCCGTTTGACGTCACACTACGCCTGTTTTCGCGCCACTTCTCGCGGGTTCGCCAGGCATCGCCGACGATAGCTGCGTAATTCTCACTAATGCGTGAGCATGAGGGCTCGTATCTAGTTTGTACGTTACACAATTGACCATAAAGTTCATTACGCTATATCGTTGCAAAAAATCGCTATATAATTCCGTTCCGCCGCAATATAAATAGAGCCTTAGGAGGCACACTGACTCGTTGGTTTGTTTGAAAAAACAAATATCCGTAAAAATAATTTCATTTCCAATCAGATGGCGTTCAGATTAATGTCAAATTCCAACCAATTTTTTATTTATTTCGATAAAACGATGAATATTATCTTTATAATTTTATTCGCATTTAAAGCATTTTGCTTCTGTGATCACTATGCGTGCAATCAAAGATTGTATTGTATTTTGTATCTGCTGTGTTCTGTAAGACCTGAACTATATAATCTGGATATTTTTAAGATCAAGGGTAAAATTTTAAGGTCCCGTGTAGACAATCATGTATCACCCTCACCCTCACTTTCAATTACTTTGAGGTGAGATTATGGACAAATGTGAGACTGTTGCACAAAAAATCGTGCTATATGTGAACTGTACGGGGAGTTGTTTCTAAGGAAGTTTTAAATATCAGTTGATGAGGTAGGTATAACATTAAACTTATTAAATATGTTTTGATAAATTTATGGCGATCAGCAATTGAAATGTTGGAGATGTTGAACCTCTAATTATTACCCTGTACGTGATTATCGAAGAGAAAAAAATACTTAAATAAAGAGAAAAAAATTACATGACGTCATTACGCTTTACAATTATTCACTTGGTTTATTTCCAGAAATGTGTTAAAATCGATTAGCATGATCTTATCTATGTAAATAGGTTTTTCATCGGATTTTGATTGAAGTGCTCTCAATATTTATATAGCCATGTTTATACACCGCATAGTTTTAAATAGTTTTTGTATTATCCTAAAGTTTTACCATTGATGATTCTTGTTAAGGACTCTAAAAGTACGAGGACATGTTGTTTATATAGAAGGTTAAAATGTTATAACAGTAACGTACATTGTATGTTTATGTATTTAACATTAGAGACGTTGATAAAAAGATGATGCAACTCATATTTCATGAGCAAAGGTAAAATTTTTAAAGTGAAGTCACTGTTGCTTACCTTGATTATTATTCGGCTAGCAAAATGTATATGATATGTAAACTAATTCATGAGGCCTTTTTGATTTTACAATGATAAAAGAGAAGATTTTCACATCATAGATAAGAAACTGATTACAATTTTAATACATTATGTTTATTTGGTTCTTACTCGTTTTCCGTACTGGACATTGATATACAAAACAATGGCTAAATTTATAAACGTAGTATCTTCACTAATGTGAAATTTTGAATAGGCACAAAATCAGAATTACTGGAAGAAAATTGTATGACAATATATGATTATATCTTTATTTTATAACTAATAGAATATCTACAAAATTATATTTTAAGCTTTGATTGCCCGATATTGTGCTTGAAGAGTAAAGTAAGTAAAACTTAAAAAGTAAACGACTCGTGGCCAACCGTCCCGCTCTCTCTGTATTTCACGGTTAAAAAAGGTATTTCGTCCAAAAACGGAGTTACGAGGTTATCAAATCTAGCCGAAGTATGATAATAAACAGTATTCTAATAAGTAACTGATACCGTCAGCCATTGAAACAAAATTCAAGGATCTTCTTGAATATCGTGACGTTTTATTACTATATATTTTTTTAAAAACTTCATCTACTAGTTTGTTATAATTATTAATACAAAGATCAAATATAGAAAATTTCCTTCGATCTAAAATAAAGTCGAAAATAAAGACGGAACGAACAAGTCTTGCGCCTGATGGTAAGTTACACGTTTATCCATAACAGTTGTAGTGCCACTCAGACCTTTCAAATGGCAAACATCTGAGGGGCACTGCCACTGCGCCTGTCACCCTGAGACATAAGTTGACACGTCTCATGTGCCTGTATGCCAAACTAGGGCCATTGCTTTACCAACTGATTTTAATTTACTTCCATTTTTATTACCAACTGAGATCAGACACAGATAAGGCGCTTTAGTGTAAGTTTTCAAATAT